GGGGGCGGCCCGGGCACGTGGGGGGCGGGCGCGGCGGCGCCGGGCGCCCCGGGCTGCGTCCGCTTCCACCGCTTTTTTTCATCTCTGCGGAGTGTGACGAATGGTTGCTCCGAGCGTTCCGAGCCGCGCAGCGCAGCCGGGCCCGGGGGGGGGGGGAGGGGGGGGCGGGATCTCTCCTGTGCTGTCCTGTGGCCTCATCGAGTTCGCTGGCTTCTCTGAGCTGGGTCTCAGCATTTCAGGATCAAGTGCAGTTCTCTGCAAGAAAACCATGTTTTTAGGACCTCAGGGTCCTGCCCTTAGGAAAGCCCTCCCCCACCCCGCCCCCCAAACGAGCTGGCTTGGTGATGGTCAGACTCTTGGTAGGACAGGCATCAGAATGGCTGCATGTAAAGACTGGGGCTGTCTACTCTGTGGAAGGTTTGGATCACCTACTCTGTTGGACGCCTACTATGTGCTGGCCAGCAGCAGGGTAAGCAAAGAGGACAGAGGGGCTGGGAAGGTGGCTTAGTGGTAGAGCGCTTGCCTTGCATGCATGAGGCCCGAGGTTCGATTCCCCAGCACCACATAAGCAAAAAGAAAAAAAAGCCGGAAGTGGGGCTGTGGACCAAGTGGTAGAGCCTTGAGCTGAAGAGCTGAGGGACAGCGCCCAGGCCCAGAGTTCAGGCCCCACGACCGGACCCCAAAAAAAAAAAAAGAAAATGCAAAGAGGACAGAGACCTCTGCCCTGTGCAGCTTGCCTTCCAATGCAGGAGAAAGAAGATACACACTTTAACAAAGTGACAAAATAAAGGCTTTATGGGGGAAACCTCGTAGAGGGCGAGATGGATTTTGTTTTTGTTTTTGTTTTTTGCATGCCCAATGAGGTAATGAGTCTTGTGGCTATCGGGAGAGAAATAATGTACTTAAAAGGAAAAGCCCAGTGCAAAGGTCATGAGGTAGATGAGCCCTTGATGTGTGTGTGTGTGTGTGTGTGTGTGTGTGTGTGTGAGAGAGAGAGAGAGAGAGAGAGAGAGAGAGAGAAACAGCAGGAGTTCAGAGAGGGAGCTGACATGGCATCGTGTGAATTTGTAAAGACCAATGTTTGAGCCATACCTCCATTTCCATTTCCAGCTTTTTGCTAGTCAGTTGGAGACTTAAAAAAAAAATCACTGGGCTCCAGTGGCTCACGCCTATAATCCTAGCTACTCAGGAGGCTGAGATCTGAGGATCGCGATTCAAAGCCAGCCCAGGCAGGAAAGTCTATGGGACTCTTATCTCCAATAAACCACCAGAAAACCTGAAGTGGCGCTGTGGCTCAAGTGGTAGAGCTCTAGCCTTGAGCTGAAGAGCTGAGGGACAGCGCCCAGGCCCAGACTTCAAGCACCATGACCAAAACCACAACAACAAAAATCTTAGTTTTGTCTGCCTGGGCTGGTTTTTTGTTTTTTGTTTTTTTTGGGGGGGTCCGGTCTTGGGGCCTGAACTCTGGGCCTGGGCGCTGTCCCTCAGCTCTTCAGCTCAAGGCTAGCGCTCTACCACTTGAGCCACTGTGTCACTTCCGGCTTTTTTTTCTGCTTATGTGGTGCTGAGGAATTGAACCCAGGGCATCAGGCATGCAAGGCAAGTGCTCTACCACTGAGCCACTTTCTCAGCCCCCCTGGGCTGGTTTTTGTGACCCTCAGATCTCAGCCTCCTGAGTAGCTAGGATTACAGGAATACAGGCGTGAGCCATTGGGATCCAGCTCTCCAAATTCTTTATTCAGCCACTTAACACAGAGTCACAAAGAGGCTGAACATAACACAGGTGCTGGGTGGGATGTTGAACTAAAAGCATGAGGCAGGGTCCCTGCTTAGGAGGCACAATGAGCCCTTAAAAGCATCAGCACCCTCTCCCCCACCCTCTCTCTTTTTTCTCTCCTTTGTCCACCCCCATGGGTTTGCATCCTGAAATGGTCAGGCAGGGGAGGATAAAGGACACTTATTGTGATCAGTCTGGAGGACGTGTGAGGGTGGGGGTTGGGCAGCACCTTGGGGGCCTGGGCACATCCTTGTCTATTGTTTTACCTAGTTCACTTATTTGTGATTGGTTATTTTTGTGGGTCAGTACTGGGGCTCGAACTTAGGACCTAGGTGCTGTCCCTTAGCAACCCTTTCCCTCTCAAGGTTAGCGTTCTACCACTTGGGCCACAGATACACTTTTGGCTTTTTATTGGTTAATTGGAAGTAAGATTCTCATAAACTTTTCCTGCCCAGGCTGGCTGCAAACCACGATCCTCAGGTCTCAGCCTCCAGAACAGCTGGGACATCGTGTTTGTTAAGCAACCCCAACAGACCAAACCACCGAATGCCACATCTTTTGGGGACTGGTACTGGTGCTGGTGCTTTCTTGTAGCAACTCTTCTCCACATCTCCATTTGAACATCTCTTGAGAGTTGGGAGTGAGATTCTCTCCAGTCCCAATGCAGAGCCTTAGGGACCACTCCAACTGGCAAGTAAGTAACCTCTCCTCAACATCCACCTTCCCCTCACAAGCCCCCTACTACATGTGTCATTATGGTGAAAATCATGCAAATAACTTCAGCGGGGTGGGGGGGAAGTCTCTCAGCAAATGGCTATTCAAAAATGTAATAAAATTAACCCTATAATGTGATCTGGGCCTCCCAAGACCATCCATCATGCCGATTGGATTATGATAGGGAACCCAGATGTTCCTGAGCTCCAGGCAGAGTTCCCAGTTCCCTTGCCCTTGCCCTTGCCCCTGTCCCATCCCCAAGGAACTATCCTCTTGCTATGGCCTCTGCCAAGTTGCCAATGAAAAAGCTGCTTGAGTAAAAACTGGTAAGGGGAGGGGTAGTGGGAGAAGGATCCTGGATTTCCTCCAAGTAACCAAATGTCCACCGTGATGAAATTTCCCCCAGGTCTACAAACCACTGAGCACTTTCTACACTGTGGCTCTGTATAGAGTTCTTCTCCCACATGGTAAGCTGTGGGCAGGGTCCTTCACTTTTTTTTTTTTTTTGAGGTGCCAATACTAGGGCTTGAACTTTGAACTCCAGGCCTCAGTGTTGTGCCTTAGCTTTTTCCACTCAAGGCTGGCACCCTACTGTTTCAGCCACATCTCTACTTCTGGCTTTTTGCTGGCTAATTAGAGATAAAGTGTCTCCTATTGTTTGTACAGGCTGGTTTCATACCAGCCTAACTACTCAGCCTCCTGAGTAGTTAGACTTCTAGGCATGAGCCACCAGTACCCAGATCCCAACTCTTCAGAGGAGTTGCTATGCCCCAAATGTGCTGCTGGCTGCATCAGTTATTGACACAAAATCACCCATTCTTTTGGGTTAAGCATTGACATTTTACAAAATGCAGACAAACTATGGTGGCAAATCCCACAGTCCCCTAGGGAGCTTGTTAAAGGGCCAGTGCCCTGCTGTGCACCCTGAGCTGGCAGCTGGATGGCCAGAGGTTTAATAGGTTCCTTGGGGATTGTGATGGAGATTTCCTAGGACTGCATTTTTGAAAAAGGCTCTGTTGACATTCCTGCCTTAATCCTCTTGTTACTTACCTCTTCCCATTAGCACTGTGCAAATGCAAGTTTGAAGGCATCTGGGACAATGGTACAAGTTCCCAATAATGATCTGTAAACAGTCAATATTCCAACTAAATCTTATACAAACTGGTAGATGAAACTTCCAGTCTCTGATGTCCCTAGAGGCCAGAGACAAAAATCCTCTTGGTTCTGATCTTGTCACTCATTAACTCCATAGTTATTTCTCTGACCTTAAATTCCTCATTTGTAACTTTTGGTATTGTAATTTAAACCCCAGTGGGTGTGGTGATTCACACCTACACTCTCGGCTACTAGGGAGGTGGAGATCGAAAAGATCTCCATTCAAAGTCAAACTCGGCAAAAAATTGAGACTTTATCTCAATCAGCAAGCCTGGTGTGGTGGTGTGTGTCTGTGAACCCAGCTGTACAGGAGGCCAGAGGGATGATCTGGGAGATTCTTCCTACCTGAAAGACTCTAGCTTTGAAGCCTGGGGGTGGGGGTGGGGAGCAAGAGGCAGGGCTGAAGTGGCAGATCAAGTGTGAGGAACTGAGTTCAAACAGCAGTATGCAAAAAAAAAAAAAAAAAAAAAAAGGTTTAATTCCTAGTGTCCAAATAAATACTTTTGTTTTCCACTTCAACTTTGGTCAATAAAGGAACATCCCTGGTGTGTTTCACCATTTGTAAATGCGACTTTGGAATGGATACTAAGCTCGTAGAGGTTATGGGGGAATTAAATGATGTTCATATGAATATAATCATCTCTGAGGAATCTTCCAAATGGAGTTCGCGCCTCGCTGGTACTGGAGAGCAGTAAACTGTTCGCAGTAGGGACCTCTGCCTGCCTCCACCCCTGTCCCAGCTGTGCGACTCAGGGAAGATTTCTCTCCCTCTCTAAACCTCATTAGGCTCATCTGCCAAAAGGGGGACAATCGGATAAGAGTTACTCCGAGGATTCAGTGACAACGCACCGGCACGTTCAGTCCAGTGCCCAGCACTAGGCTGCAGCTTACGAAGATCAGCTTTTATTTATTTTTAATGGGAGTGCTGAGGATGAACTCAAGGCCCTCGGCACGCACTTAGGATGCACCCCAGCCCTCCCCCGTCCCCGGATCCGCTTTCTGTTGGGCAGCCGAGGATGGTGACGTTTACGAGTAGCAGCACCAGTCGCTGGCTGTAGCTCCCAGCTGCCCTCAGCAACTCCTCCTCGCCCTTTCTGGCGCCCTAAAGCAAGAGAAATGCCCTGGAGGAAAAGAATATAAGGCGGGCGAAGGAGACCCAGTCGCCTGGGGTACGACCCAGCCTGAAGTCTGAGATTGTAGCTCACATCCGGGTGCAGAGATCGCTGACGTCCAACCCAGGCCCCGCCCCCGGCACGACACGCCCACAGCGCGATTCCGAGGTCCGGATTGGTCAGTTTAGACAAGTGGGCGTGTCTACGATGGGCCGGAGTGCTGCGGACGTCACCAAGCGGCGCCGCTGTCGCGGGTTGCGCGGGATTCGCGAGTAGTCGTCGGTTCTCGCCTGTGGTGGTCACCGAGCTGAGCCTGGGTGGGCGCCGAGGCCGGAGCTGGTGCCGAGAGGTGACCTGGCTGGGCAGAGGGCGGGACTTCTTCCCCCTCGGCTGCGTTTTCCCATCGTCCTCCCCTGCGCCCCGGGCCCTGCGCCTCCAGCGGTTTCCCTCCGCGTCCGCGGCTTGTTTTTTGGGGGCGCGGGCGACTCGGCGGCGCGCGGGCAGCCGGGGGACTGAGGCCGATCGCGGTGCGGCTGATGCTCCCGAGCGTGAGGCCGGGGACGAAGGGGGCCCGTGGCTGCGGCGGTGCCGCGTGAAGGGGCGTCGGGGCGGGACCCGCGGGCCTGCGCCCGGGGCCGCTGGAACCTTCCCCTGCCCAGGCCCCGGTGGCGGGAAGAATGACCACGCTCACCAGACAGGACCTCAACTTTGGCCAAGGTAGGGAGACGGGACCTGCGGTGCGTGTCTGGGCGCGGGTCCTGCGGGAGCAGGGTCTGGGCTGCGCGGTCTCGCCCACGGGCTTGCGCCTCCTCTGCAGTGGTGGCCGACGTGCTGTGCGAGTTCCTGGAGGTGGCCGTGCACCTGATCCTCTATGTGCGCGAGGTCTACCCGGTGGGTATCTTCCAGAAGCGCAAGAAGTACAACGTGCCGGTCCAGGTGAGCCCCCAAACTCTCAGACTGTAGAGGGGGATTTTTTTGTTGTTGTTGTTGCCGGTCCTGGAGCTTGAACTCTGTGCCTGAGCTTGTGTACTCAACACTAGTGCTCTATCACTTGAGTCACAGCTCTACTATTGGATTTTTTGGTAGTTGATTAGAGATGAGGCTTATGGACTTCCCTGCCTGGCCTGGCTTTGAACCCTGATCCTCAGATCTCAACCTCCTGATGGAGGTGCATTTTTCAATAACTCTAACACTTGAAGGTCTCTTCATTTTTGACAGTCTCTGATGGCTATACAGCCTCTTACCCCTCAACCCCAGCTTCTCCTTGCCTTCTCTACCTTAAGGAAATTCAATTGCACGCACCCGCACTCATGTACTGGGGTTTAAACTTAGGGTCTTGTCTTTTTGCCAAGACTGGCACTCTTATCACATCTACAGCTCCACTTCCAGTACTTAGGTGGTTAATTGGAGATAAGAGTCTCACCTAGTGAGATGCCAGAGGCAAAAATGCCTGTAATCCTAGCTACTCAGGAGGCAGAGATCTGAGGATCGCAGTTCAAAGCCAGCCCAGGCAGGAAAGTACAGGAGGCTCTTATCTCCAATAAACCACTCAGAAAATCGAAAGTGGAGCTGTGGTTCCAGTGGTAGAGCCCTAGCCTTGAGCTGAAGAGCTGAGGGACAGCGCCCAGGTCCAGAGTTCAAGCCCCATGACCAACCAAAAAATAAAATCAAAAGACAAAATTATGATAAGCATGCTGCTCATCTCCACTTCCTAGAAAGGTCTCCTTAGCAGGTATTCAGTTAATTTAGCATGGATAACCACTAGGTATTTGGAGGTAGGAGGAGCTTAAAGGATGTACAAGGAAAAACAAGTGAGAATTAGTACCCTTTTTTTTTGGGTCCGGTCATAGGGCCTGAACTCTGGGCCTGGGTGCTGTCCCTCAGCTCTTCAGCTCAAGGCTAGCACTCTACCACTTGAGCCACAGCACCACTTCTGGCTTTTTTCTTTTTGCTTATGTGGTGCTGAGGAATCGAACCCAGGGCCTCACGCATGCAAGGCAAGCGCTCTACCGCTGAGCCAACTTCCCAGCCCCAAGAATCAGTACCTATTGAGCACTAGGTACTAGGTACTGTGTGTAGGTACTTCATTTAATCCTGTCTTTTTATTAGATCACCAAGGAGAAATTAAGGGATTTGCCTGATGCTATATGGGTTTTGTGTGTGTACATGCATATATTGGTCCTGGGGCTTGAACTGAGTGCTATCCCTGAGCTTTTTTTTTCTCAAGGCTGGAGCTCTACCCCTTGAGCCATCATTATTCTTCTTCTTTTTGGTGGTTAATTAGGGATAAGAGTCTCATGGGCTTTCCTGTCCAGGCTGGCTTTTGAAACTTGATCCTCTGATCTCAGCCTCCTGAGTAGCTAGGATTATAGGCATGAGCCACTTTGTTGAGCACTTGATGTTATTTTATTTTGTGCCAGTATTGGAGCTTAAATTCAGGGCCTGGGTGCTGACCCTTAGCTTTTTCGCTTAAGCCTGGGGCTCTACCACTTGAACCTCAGCTCCACTTCTGTCTTTTGTAGTTAACTGAAGAATCTCAGGGCTTTTTCTGCCTGGGCTGACTTTGAACCTCTGTCTTCAGATCTCAGCCTCTTGAATAGCTATAACTACAGGTGTTAGCCTCCAGTGCTGAGTACCTAATGCTATTATTATTTTTTGGTTCATTGTGGGGCCTGAACTCAGCCTGGCGTTGTCCCTCAGCTCTTCAGCTCAAGGTTAGGGTTCTACCACCTGAGCCATAGCACCACTTCCAGCTTTTTCTGCTTATGTGGTGCTGAGGAATGGGACCCAGGGCCTCATGCATGCAAGAAAAGCACTCTACCACTGAGCCACCTTCCCAGCCCCCCAATGCTATTTTAAATGCTAATGTTGAGACTAAACTTTTGTCTTTAAAGTTTTCTTCACACGGGTAAATGCATAGTTGTTAGTCCAATAGTTCTGGGTCTCTAAGGCCGGCAGTCCTAAGGAGCATCTGGGCCAAGTGGTAGGGTGGAAGGGACTGGTGTTCTCCACTTGTGCTTGGGCCTCAACAGTGTGTGGGATTGTGTGCAGATGTCCTGCCACCCGGAGCTGAATCAGTACATCCAGGACACGTTGCACTGCGTCAAGCCACTGCTGGAGAAGGTGAGGGGTGCCAGGCCCTTCCTGACCCCAAGTCCTTCCTGCCATGCTCATCTTCCCACTTTTGGGTGGGATAAAGCGAGGGCCATTCAAGGTGCCTGTGGCCTAACCCCTTAAAAGCCCATTTCTGCACTCTGGAGACCACCGCAGCCAGTAACAAGGCTTGGGTGTGTGAACCCTATCAGGACACCTTGGGCCAAGCCAGGAACCTGGGATATGTGGGATGGCTCAGAACATTCTGGATTCTTTCCATGTGTGTCCAGTAAGTTCTGTCTGAGTTCCTGTCCAGTCTAGACCTCACCTCTGAGACTTGCTGGGCCATCCTTGTGGTTCCGCATCCTCTCCTCCCAGCCTGACCTCTGGTGCCCAATGTAGCAGTGGTCAGCAGCTGAAGGGGGTAGCAGGGGCCCCTCCCCAATCTTCCCTGGGTTCCTACCTTTGCAGAATGATGTGGAGAAAGTGGTCGTGGTGATTCTGGATAAAGAGCACCGCCCAGTGGAGAAGTTCGTCTTTGAAATCACCCAGCCCCCCCTGCTCTCCATCAGGTACCCCCACACCTTAGAATGCGCTAGCTGGTCTGCTGATACTCTTAAGGTTAAGGCAGGCCACTGGAGCCAACCTCCCTCTTCCCACTGGCTGTGTGGCTTTAGGCAACCTTGTCTCCTCCAGGCTTGGGGACGTGGTGGTGGTATGAAGGGCTGAGGGTTTTGTCAGCATCTCTCCCTCCATCCCACCTGAGGCTTGGGGCTGGCTGGTCCTCAGAGGTGCTGTGGGGTTCTGGGCCCATGCTGCTGGGGCAGGTCATACTGAGCTGTGAGTCTCGTTCCCCTTTCTAGCTCAGATTCCCTGTTGTCCCACGTGGAGCAGCTGCTCCGAGCCTTCATCCTGAAGATCAGCGTGTGTGATGCTGTGCTGGATCACAACCCCCCAGGTGTGCCCATCGCGCCTGCAACCTTATCCCTTCCTCCCTGCCCTTCAGAACCTAGGCCCACCCCTCCAGAAAGCTGCAGCCTTTCCGACTGGGTCTTCCCAGCCCTTACAGTGCACTGGGGCTTGCAGGTGGGGAGGGAGGTAGGGAGGGCAGCTGGGAACAGGCAGGGCAAACCAAGCTCTCCTCCCCAGGCTGCACCTTCACAGTCCTGGTGCACACGAGAGAAGCTGCCACCCGCAACATGGAGAAGATCCAGGTCATCAAGGTGAGAGGCCACAGGCCGGAGGCCTCTTTTCTAGGTGGTCTGGATGCTCTTCGTGACAGTGCCAGGCACTCAGCTGCTCCTGGCTGCTAACTCACGGCCACTGCACCAGGCCAGTGCTGCATCTGAGCATCTAAAACCTATGGGAGCCCAGTGGAGCCATGTTTGGCTTGCCAGCTCGTCCTGGCTGTGGGAAGGGGAACTTGGGGGAGGGGCCTCAGCTGCGGTTCCAGCAGTGGTGCTGCTCTAAAGCAGCTCAGGGCTCCAGGGTCACCGGGGCTCCTGGAGGAGGAGTCTGGAAGGAACATGTCTTCTTCTGGAGTCTTGGGACCCCACTCTGCAGGGAGGGGTGGCAGAGCCCGAGCTGGCCTGGCTCCAGTCCCCTCCACACCTCAGTCCTGCCCACTCCTAGGACTTTCCCTGGATCCTGGCAGATGAGCAGGACGTCCACATGCACGACCCCCGGCTGATACCCCTCAAAACCATGACGTCAGACATCTTAAAGGTGAGAGGTTCGGGGGACAGCAGTTTATTTTAGGGATGCTGGGATGAGGGCCGGATGCTCAGGCTTGGAAACACCACTGGGGCCACAGCACCTCTCCCCAGGCCTGCTAGAAATCCGGACCTGTAGAGTGAGCTCCTGCTTATCCTCCAACCCTGGCTTTCTCTCTCCTAGATGCAGCTGTATGTGGAAGAGAGAGCTCATAAAAGCAGCTGAGGCTGCGTCTGCAACCCACGGAGGCCACGGCTGTGTGTCACTGGGGTCCCCAGCCCAGGGCAGGGACCCTGGCTCCCTGACTCCAAGTGCTCTTATTGCCCCTGTATGGCGCCTTCTCCCCACAGGGCTGCTCAGGTCGGCTTGCCAGGGTGGAGGAGAGGGCTGGGGAGGTGCGGTTGGGGGAGGGAGGGCCCAGCAGTGAGGGATGCTGGGCCTGCAGGTTCTCACCTGGTGGGGGAGGGAGGCAGTGAGGGATGCTGGGCCTGCAGGTCTCACCTCCTGGGGTTCAGTTGTTCACACTGTGCATCTCAACTACTGTTCTGTGAGGTGTTTCAATAAAGGGCCCCAAGGGCTGATGGCTATGTGTAATGAGTGAGAAGGCAGGTGTAGCCATGTTAAGGGGGGGGGGGGAAAGCTCCTCCCATGAGACCCAGTGACCCCCACCTCACTGCAAATGCCACCCAGGCTGGGTTTTCCTGAAAATATTTATTACAACAAAGCATCAGCAAATCACCACAAGCTGGAGGTTTCCCAAGCTGGACGGAGGCAGGGCTCCTGGGGCGGGAGGCCCTGCTGAAGGCTGGAGCGCCATCTGCCTGGAGAGGCCTTTGGCTGTCTAGGACAGAGGCTGGGAGAGAAGACGGCAGACGTGGCTGTGGCTGGTCACGGCCTGTGGAAGCGCAGCGGGAAGAGCGATGGGCTGTCCTCCGTCCCCCGCCGCAGCCTCTCGGGCCGTGGAGGGGCGGGGGCCGGGTTCCTGGCTGGTTTGTAGCTGATGATGATGCTGCTGTTGGTGACACGAGGGCCGTACCAGCCAGCCCAGAACTGGGTGTCCTGCCCCCCGTGCTGGAAGAGGATGTGCCGGACACCTGGTGGGTAGTCTGAGAAGGTGTGGGAGACCTGGGATGGGGGGGATGGTAGGAGCAAGTGAGCACAGGGAAGGAGTCTAGGAGAGCTGGTTGGGGTGGGCAGGGGAAGCCTTACCTCTTTCCAGGTGGCATCGCTCCACTGTTCAATGGTCACAGGTGGGGGCTCGAAGGACGCCAAGACGATGTAGTCGGCCGAGGCCAGCTGCACCCGGAGGTGGTAGGTGCAGCCACAGTCTGCCCGCGCAGCAAACCTGGAGAGGACAGAGGACAGGGCTGAGAGCTGTGCCCTGCCTGAGCTTGCTCCCTGTGCCCTGCCAGGCCCTGGGTACGCAGTCTACCCACGAGGTCCCTCAGTCACCACACCTGAGAGGGACACCCTGCGGGCAGTCAACTGACATGACTTTACATAGCCAGCCATGTTCCCTAAACACTGCAGTGGGCCTGGGCCTCATGAGAGGCATGTGTGGGGCTCAGACAGACAGCACCACAGGTGGTGTGGCTCTTCACAGAGCTGGCCATGAGGCCTGGCTGGACCTGGGGTCCCCATTTGCTGGCCAGGCACCCCGGGGCCACCCCCAGCACTAAAGCAGCGATTCCTGGGATAATCAGGGAGAAGGCTGGGAGGCCAGAGTTGTGTTCGTGATGACCCCTGGGCAGAGCTCTGTCCAGCCCCACACTGGCTAATGTATGCTGCTGACTGCGGGGGGAGGGCAGAAGCAGCAAGGACTGGCTCAGAGGATTGGGCTATGGGGCAGCCCATGCCCAGGACAGCACTGGGCAGAGTGCATTCTGGATTCTCTGAACCAGTGGCTGGTGTGTGTGTGTGTGTGTGTGTGTGTTGTAATGTAGAGTTGAGGCCAGGCAAGAACCCCACTCACCAGTCTTTCACCACGATGTCAGGCCGCACTGTGTCCATCAGCTCCTCCCAGTAGCCCTCGGCTTTGAGATCCACCAGCTGAGACTTGAGGCACATTCTGAGGGCAGAGGGCAAGGCTTGTGTTTCCAGCCGAGTGAGGCAGGCAGGCTGGGCAGCCCTTCGGGACCAGGGAGGCAGGTCCAGGGGACCTAGGGACCCCCCCTCCCCCTTTCATCACTGCAGGACAGGCACTGGCTGCAGTTTACCATCTATTTCCCTGGACCTGAGCCACTGGAAACTGGAGCAGCAAGTCCGGCCCAGCTGGGTCTGGACAGCATTTGATCCAGGCCAAAGCCTCAGTTTCCAGGGCCACATACAGTCAGTCCCTTCTGTGATTCAGCCTCATCAAAGACAGCTGTGGACACCCTGCCCTGCTGTAACTGCCCAGTGCTCTCCTGCTGCCTAGGACAGGGGACCAGGTTTAGTGGCTCCAGTTAGCCGTGGGCACTGGTGTGTTTGGGAGCCACCTTCCTGAGCATCAGGCCTTGATTTGCCTAGGACAAAGGTAGGTATCCTGGCACTCTGCCCTCATTTCAACTTGTATTTTGTCATGGGGCTTGAATTTAGGGCCCGGGCACTATCCCTGAGTTCTTTTTCTGCCATTTTGGGCCACAGCTCCACTTCCAGCCTTTTCTGAGTAGTTTATTGGAGATAAGAGTCTCAGGGGGACTTTTCTGCCCAGGCTGGCTTCAAGCCACAATCCTCAGGTCTCAGCCTCCTGAGTAGCTGGGATTACATGTGTGAGCCACCAGCGCCCAGCTCCAATTTCTTGGTCTTACTCAAAGGATGTGACGAAGTATTTCTTGACTTTGGGGTCGGGGAAGTCAGCGCCATGGTCTCCTGGGAGGCTCTCTACCTTCCAGTGGTGCCCCCCATTGGAGTCAATTCGCCAGGACGCCATGTCCTCTAGGAAAGACAAAGGTTTCTTTTATTATTATTTGTGCTGGTCCTGGGGCTTGAACTCAGGGCCTGGGCACTGCCTTTGTGTTCACTTAAGCCACAACTCTATTTCCAGCTTTTTGGTGGTTAAATGGAGATGAGTCTCAGATTTTCTTGCCCAGGCTGGCTTTGAACCATAATCCTCAGATCTCAGCTTCCTGACGAGCTAGGATTACAAGTGTGAGCCACCAGCACCTGGCCCATAATGCTTAGTATCATTTTCATTGTTTTGTAGTTCCGGGGGTAGAACCCCGGGTCTTGCACATGCTCAGCAGGTGGTCTATCATGGAGCGCCAATCCCAGCTCGCCTGGGAGAAAGCATGGCAAAGTGAGCAAGGCTCACTGTGGTCAGATTTCTGGGGTTGTGGTCCCCTAGGGGTTAGTCTGCTTGCTCCTTCCAACAGACTATGACTCTCTACCTCTCCTGCTCTGCCCCAAATGGTCCCAATTCCTAAGGTACAGTTAATATCACTTTCATCGTCACTGTTTGGCAATACTGGATTTAAATTCAGGGCTTTGCTAGGCAGGTTCTCAACTTGAGCCACTGCTCCAGCTGTGTAGCTGCAGACACCGACAGAAACCTACAGAAACCCTCCATCCAACTTCCTTCCGTGTTGCCTTGGTACAGAACTACCAAGAGTCTGAGATGGAGCTGAAGGGGCTCACGGGAGTTTTCCCACACACAGACCACCTGCTCTCCGGCACCCCCCAGTGTCGAGAAGGAGACCTAGGAGGCTTCTGGGCTGAGGACTGATTTGGCTCCCCATTGACAGACCCCCTCTTCCTGGGCGGGTGCCAGGTGGCGTTACTGGAATCCCCTGGGCTAGTGCTCATAGAGGACCTGGCAGGAGGCTCAGGGGTGTCCTGTTCAAGGCCCGCCCTTCCACCAATATGCTCTAGACCAAGCACACCATTACCTGGTGCATTTCCAAACCCTCTCCACCCATCTCCACACCTATTTCCTTGTGCTCTGGGAGTTTTCCAGTAGAATTTCCAGAAGCTGGGCTGGTCTGCGTTTAGGCTAGGGAAGGGCTGACTGGCTGCATGTGGGGCCCAGTGCAAGGCCCCTGCAGCCTGGCTCTCAGGTGATGGAACCAGGCAGCTGCTCTGTGGAGTCAGGCAGGAGGGGACTGATCCCAATCAGCCAGGACCAGAGCTCTGTGCTCCGCAGTGCGGCTCTCCAGGAAGTCATTTGCAGGGTTGGAGCATGCTTTGTAGCTGGTGGAGCTCACTGTCAACTGCCACCAACTCCCAGGGGCCCAGGGAGAAAAAGGGAAATTGATCAAAAGGGTCTTGAACAGACTAGGCCTTGTACTCTCTACTGCACTGGATGTAGTAGGTGCTGAATGGAGGAAGGCAGGAAGGGCAGACCATTCTAGGTGTGTGGGGGGGTGTCACACTGCAACTGCACTCACTTGTCACGCCTCCCTTCACCTACTGCAACACCAGAGGTGGGGAGACAATGACTATGAAGCCTCAGCCGAGAACCTGGCACAGAAGCCCAGGATAAACCCCGGGCAGGCCCAGTGCCAGCGCCTCACGCCTATAATCTACTCAGGAAGCCGAGATCTGAGGATCACGGTTCAAAGCCAGCTGGGGCAGGAAAGTTTATGAGACTCATCTCCAATTAACCACAGGAAAAGCCTGAAGTGGCACTGTGGTTCAAGTGGTGAAGCGCTAGCCTTGAGCAGAAGGAACCCAGGGACAGGTGGATCTGTGAGGTGCCCTGAAAAAGCGTCCTTGTCACTCCATGGGGTGACAAGATCCACTGTGCCCAGAGAACGTGAGGTCTGTAGCAGAGGGAAAGGGTAGGTGCCTGTCACTGTCCTGGTGGCACTTCTCATACAAAGTTATATAACTCATAAATAACTACGTTATAGAAAGTGCCATGAGGACAGTAACAGGCAGGGGCACTGTTTCTGGATGAGTGGTCAGGTTAAGATCTCTTAACTGACCTGAAGAATTAAGGAGAACCAAGGGAGCTTGGTAGGAGTGAGGGGCATGAGACCATCCCAGCAGGTGCAAAGGCCCCGAGGTTCAGGAAGGAGAAAGGACCCATGCTGTGGCAGTGTAGCCCACCTTCAGCACAGGGGTTGCGCAGGAGATTCCTTTGCAGGCTGCGCAGGAAGTAGAAGATCTTCCAGTCAGCCACAGGCTGGTCCCAGTCCCGGGTGATGAAGCCGTCGCGCAAGCACTTGCGCTTCCAGAGCGTCACCAGGTCGATGAGGTCCCGCCAGAGGCTGCAGACCGGGCGGCAGCGCAGCAGCAGCTGGCGGGCGGGCACGTGCGTGAAGAGCTCCAGCAGGATGTTCTCGGGGAGCTCGTTGATGTTGATCTTGGTCATGGTGGCGGTGGCTGGGGGTTGCTCTCAGGCCTGTGGGGACAGCAGCAGTGAGCCCAGAGCAGGGAGCAGTACTAGGGTGTGCATGTGCACCCAATCCTAGAGATACAAGTCTTAAAGCTGGGCTCTGGTGGCTCATGCCTATTGAAGTAAGGAGGTCAGGTCTGGCCAGCGCCATATTGGCCACATGGTGGATTGTAGGGTCTGAGATCCAGTCTTTATGCTAGGGGAAGAAAACTTCCTATCACCTGCCTCCCAGGTGATGGGCGTGCCCAGATCCCTGGAGGCAGGAATGGGCAGTTGGCTGATAGGTTACTAAACTTGTCAGTCCAGTGCCTGGGACTGGGAATTTCCTGTGGATCTGTGTTTCTCCCTCCCCCCCCCCAACCCCCTACCGACCTACTTAGGCCCGGATAAGCCTAGAGGCCATTACGCGATGCCACGTGTCTCCATGATTATCTCCTGTGTCCTGTCTCTGCTCTATCTCCTGGCTCATCTCCAGCCATCATGGTGTCCCAATTCAGCTTTCCATTGGAGCTAACTTGGATTGTTGGTACTGTTTTGTTCTTTCCTCTTTAGCCTGTTTCCTAGCTGTGTTACGTGTATTTGGAGACTGCAGGCCTTTGTAACAACTGGCTGCCTGCAGCCTGTTAACTGTGTAATAAAGACTCCAATATTTCATATTCCAAAAATGTGGCTACTGGGATAATTCACCTTACAACACTATAATCCTAGCTACTCAGGAGGCTGAGATCTGAGGATCAGTTCAAAGCCAACCCAGGCAGAAAAGTGGCCATGAGACTCATCTCCAAATAACCACTCAAAAATGAAGTAGAGTTGTGACTTAATTGGTAGAGTGCTAGCCTGGAGCACAAAGAGGCTCAGGGACAGCGCCCAGGCCATGAATTTAAGCCCCACAACTGACCAAAGGGAAAAAAGTCTTAAAGCTCTTCCACTATCCTAACCAGGCATAAGCCAGTAATGACCAACCGTTGGGAGGTGGAGGCAGAACAATCAAGAGTTCAAAGCTGCCGGGCGCCGGTGGCTCACGCCTGTATTCCTAGCTACTCCGGAGGCTGAGATCTGAGCATCACGGTTCAAAGCCAGCCCGGGCAGGGAAGCCCGTGAGACTCTAATCTCCAATAAAGCACTAGAAAACTGGAAGTGGCGCTGTGGCTCAAGTGGTAGAGCGCTTGCTTTGAGCTGAAGAGCGCCAAGGACAGTGCCCAAGCCCAGAGTTCAAGCCCCATGACTGACCAAAAAAAAGAATTCAGGGCTAGGAAGGTAGCTCAGTGGTAGAGTTCTTGCTTTGCATGCATGAAGCCCTGGGTTCAATTCCTCAGCACCACATAAACAGAAAAAGCCAGAAGTGGTGCTGTGGCTCAAGTGGTAGAGCACTAACCTTGAGCTGAAGAGCTGAGGGACAGTGCTCAGGCCCAGGGTTCAGGCCCATGACCGGCAAAAAAAAAAAAAAGAGTTCAAAGCCAGGCTGAGATCTGAGGATCACAGTTGGAAGCCAGCCAGGGCTAGAAAGTCTATAAGACCCTTCCTTATCTCCAAGTAACTACCAAAAAAGCCAGCGGTGAGTCTGTTGCTCAAGTGGTGGCATGCTAGCTAGCCTTGAGCAAAAATGCTCAGGGACAGTGCCCAAGCTCGGACTTCTAGCCCCAGGACCAGCACAAAATAAATAAAATGTTAAAAGAGCCTTTTGAAGCTAGTTGGATGCCCGGTAAGATTTCCCAGAGGTGACACAGTGGGGTGCAAATTCCTTGAGGGCTTGGCGATGGAGATTTTCACTGTCAGAATACCAGGGCTGGGAGTGTGGCTTAGGTAAAGTGCTTACCTAGCATGCATGAAGACCTGGGTTCCATTCCTCTGTGCCACAGAAAGAAAAAGCTCTTGTGGTAGAGTGCTAGCTGTGAGCAAAAGAAGCTCAGGAACAGGGCCCAGGCCCTGAGTTCAAGCCCCAGGACTGGTAAAAAATGAAAATACAAAATACAATTATCCACTGCTCACCTAGTGGAGCTCAATCACACATTCCTCCAGCCAGGCCTGGGAAGGCCAGGAATGTGGCTGTACGAGCTCCAGGACTAAAGTTCCGCCTTGGGTGAGGTTTGGGATGAGACAGGGAGGGTTTTACCTGCATCTGGCTGGTATGGAGAATGTGGTCCACCTCTGTGGGGCAAGCTTTTCCCAGGCTCTTCTGAGGGTGCAGACAGGGCCCAGAGGGGGCTCTGTCTTGTCAATCCTCAGGGCCAGAAAAAGGATCTTTGGTCCCTGTGGCTATGCTAGGGAGGGACAGGAAATAGCTTCGTAACAAGTGAGATCAGACCACTTTAAAGTGTTGACAATGCACAGGGAAGAAGCAGAGGCTCTCATCCTCAATTAACCACCCAAAGCAAGCCAGAAGTGGAGCTGTGGCTCAAGTGGTAGAGCCCCAACCAGCCCTGAGTGAAAAAGCTCAGGGACAGCGCCCAAGTCCCGAGTTCCAGCCCTAGGATCGGCACACACACACCTGTGGAACTAGGTCCCGGGGCACCCCGGGGGGCCAGGCCGGCCGCCCGGGTCCTCCCCCCCATCCCGTCCCCACCTAGGAAGCAGACGTCCCACCAGGTCCCGGGCCCGGCCTGGCCAGGCCTCGGTGCGCCGGACGGGTCAGCGGCCGACGTCTCGGGCGGTTCCGGGTGGCCAGCGGGGTCACGCGCGCACGGGCCCGCTCCCCCCTCCCTCCCGTCCCTCCCCTCCCTCCCCCCGGCCTTACGGGGCCCAGGCTGCGGGCGCTCGCCGCCGCCGTCCGCGATCCGCGATCCCCCGGCGCGCGGAGGCCGGTGGTCCCGTTACCGCCCTCCGCCCAGGGCCAGGCCCGCAGAGGGCGGCGGGCAGGGCGCAGTCGGCGCCCCGCCCGGCCTCGGCCCTGCCCCGAGCGTCGACCCCCGCCGTCCCCGCCGACCTGCGACCTGGGCGGGTGCCGAGAGCCCGGGAGACACCGCCGCTCGGGTCGGCCTGGGCCTCGGCGGTGCGGTCCGCAGTCGCCCCGCCCCGGCCTCCGCGTCACGCGCCCCGCCCGGCGTCACGCGCCCCGCCCCCGCCCCCGCCCGGGGCCTCGCGACACCCGCGCCCGGGCCTCCCCCCGAGCCCGGGCCTCCCCCCGAGCCCGGGCCTCCCCCCGAGCCCGGGCCTCCCCCCGAGGCCGGGCCTCCCCCCAGCCTCGCGCCCGCGCCTCCCCCGAGCCTCGCGCCCGGGGCCTCGCGACACCCGCGCCCGGGCCTCCCCCCAGCCTCGCGCCCGCGCCTCCCCCGAGCCTCGCGCCACCCGAGCCCGGGCCTCCCCCCAGCCTCGCGCCCAGGCCTTCCCCCAGCCTCGCGCCCGCGCCTCCCCCGAGCCTCGCGCCCGGGGCCTCGCGACACCCGAGCCCGGGCCTCCCCCGAGCCTCGCGCCCGGGCCTCCCCCCGAGCCTGGCGCCCGGGGCCTCGCGACACCCGCGCCCGGGCCTCCCCCCGAGCCCGGGCCTCCCCCGAGCCTCGCGCCCGCGCCTCCCCCCAGCCTCGCGCCCGGGCCTTCCCCCGAGCCGCGGGCTCGCCGCTGCGGCTCCGACTTCCGCTCCGCTCCGCTTCCTGCGGCGGCGTGCGAGGCCCAGAGGCCGCCCTGACCCCGGGCTCACCCGGCGCTGCCTCCGCCGCGGCCGCGCCCTGCCCGGGCCGCGGGGACTCGGAGGTGAAACCCTCCCGCGTGCGAGGTTCCGGTCGTCCCTTCCGGCCGCCACCCCGGGGCTGCCCCGGCCGAGCACCGCGCCGCGCGCCGCCCCAGGCGCCGGGGTCCCGCTCGGACCTCCGGGCGCGGGCCCTGCGCACCCCGGGCCCGGTCCGCACGCTGACCGTGGGACTCGGGCACAGCCGGGCACCGGCGGCTCACGCCTGTCATCCTAAGCTGCTCCGGAGGCTGCGATCTGAGGATCGCGGTTCGAAGCCAGCCCGGGCAGGAAAGTCCGATGAACCACCGGAAGACCGGAAGTGGCCTCCCCCGCGGTCACTCGGGCTCTGGGGAAAGCGTGGCCAGTAGGAACTGGTGCCAGGGCTGCCCAGAGAAACCCACGCGCCGCCGGCCGCTCACAGCCAGAGCTCGGGCGTGTGTGGGATGCCCGCCCGGCCGGGAATGGGGTTGGAGACGTGGTCCAGGGGGTAGAGCGCCTGCCAATGCGAGAAAGCATCAGGTACCGAATGAGAGTCCCGGTCTTGGCCAAAAAGAGAAAGAGGACAAGGACCAGCTGCCTGTAGTTCCGGTGACCTGTCACCCCCTGCCTGTGTGAAGCCCCCCACAGCCCGTGCAGACACAAGCCCACTGAGAACACCTTTTATTTGGCCACATGCAGTAGGGAGGGGCTGGCATGGCGGGCCTGGCTGGGTAGGCAGGGAGAAATGGCAGCCTCTCGGGGGACTTGGGACTCCTGGCCCTCGTTTGCAGGGAACCCCTTTTCCCTTTCTGTGGCTGCCACTTCCTGTGCGCCCACACCTATACTGCGGCCCAATGCGTGATTCCTAGGGAAGCCCTGCCCTGCGTTTTGGAAGTACTAGTCTGGCTCCCCCTGGAAAGTCCTAAGCAGGACCCCACTGGCTATCCCAGGCCTGTCCTGTGCAACTCGGGAGCAGGTCTGAGCACCAGGAGGGAGCTCAGGGGGACAGAGGACAGAGGGGTCAGCGGAACTGTGCTCCTGCCACCCCCAGATCCGCCTGAGGCATGGCGTCACCAGCCAGCATCGCCACAGGTTTGCCCCATGTCCTGCTGGCTCCTGCTTCAGGGGCCCCAAAGGGCACAGGGGACAGGTCACAGGGGACAGATCCCTGAGGGGAGGGGGCAGAAGGCACACACAGGGATGTGGGCTGACTCCAGGCTTGGAGAGCTCTCTCACAGCAGCCTGGGGGGCACGTTCACCTGCCTCCCGTTTCATCTCTTAAGGGGGCCGGCATCAGATCAGGACCTTGGTGGAGAGTGGGGGCCTCCGGCATCTGAAGGCTGACCAGAATGACAGGCTCCACAAAGAGGCAGCTGGGGTGGGGGGGGGCAGGAGGTCAAACGGGAGGTCTGGGGATAGCTAGCTTCCAGCCCTCCTCCTTCTTAAGGCAGGCTCTTCTCTGACAGCTGCTCACCATTCAGGGCTCGGTGGATGGGGATTCAGGGGGTGTCAGGGAAGTGGGGGCCCGATGGTGATGCTGCTGTTGGTGACCCTGGGCCCATACCAGCCGGCCCAGTAGTGAGTGTCCACGCCGCCGTGCTGAAACCAGATGTAGCGGACGCCGGGTGGGTAGTTGGAGAATGTGTGGGAGACCTGGGGGCAGGAAGAAGGAGGGAGAGGGTCAGGTGAGCTGGCCCCAAATGGCCAAGGGAGCAAGAAAAAGGCTCTGTCCTCAAGGCTGGACCTGGGTCAGCAGGTGCAGTTTGGGGCCTAGCTCTGTGGTTGTGGGCAGGTCATTTTAGCTCTCTATACCTGTTTTCTCATCTGTAAAATGGAGCCAATACCAAGTGTGCGTATGGGTTTATTGAACTAAAATTAGGTATTTTTTAAAAGTCTATTATTGGGGCTGCAAATGTGGTCCTAGGACTTGAACTCAAGGCCAGGTTGCTATCTCTGAACTAGCATTTTACCACTTGAGCCACATTTCCGCTTCTGTTTTTTTTTTTTTGCCAGTTCTGGGGTTTGAACTCAGGGCCTAGTCACTGTCCCTGAGCTTCTTTTGCTCAAGGCTAGCACTCTACCACTTGAGCCACAGCACCACTTCTGTTTTTATTCTGTTCATATGGTACTGAGGAATGGAACTCAGTTCATGCATGCTAGGCAAGCACTCTACCACTAAGCCATCTTCCCAGCTCCCCTCCCCCTCCCTCTTCCCCCCAGGAAGGCTTCTTATTACTAGTTCACAGATGAAGTGAGCCAGGCCCCGGAGTTCCAAAACCCAGATGCAAAAAGGCAGAGCTTAGATTTGACCCTTGCACTGACTCAGCAGTCTCTCTTAGGAACCTGTCCTGCCTCTTTGCCCCCCCTCCCCGGTCACACCCACTCAGGGTACACCCCCCCACGTCCCCCCCCAGGGCCTGCCCAGCCCCTCCACCTGCCTTAACTCACCTCCCTCCACTTGGCATCGCTCTTCTGCTGGATCATCGCAGGGTCGGGCTGGAAGGTCCCCAGTGGTGCGTGAGCGGACGACAGGAGCTGAACGCACAGCTGGTACTTGGACCCGCAGTCTGGCCTGGCTGCAAACCTGCAGACAGAGGGAGGGGATGGGGGGCAGGGTGGGGGTGGGGCGCCTGAGCAGCAGGCCCCCTTCCCCCCTCCCCTTGCCCAGGCACTCACCAGTCCTTGACCTCGATGTCCGGCCGGGTGTTGTCCATCAGCTCCTCCCAGTACCCTTCGGCCTTGAGGTCCACTACCTGGGACTTGAGGCAGGTGCTGGGGAGGTGGAGGGGCATGGGGCTGGGGCTCAGCAGCAGGAACTGGGAGCTAGGCTGCCCCTCCCCCCAGGCCAGAAGCCCTCAGGGTGTCCTAGGCATTTCCCCCACTCCCCAAGACCCCCAGATCTTACTAATAAGATGTCACGAAGTATTTCTTGACCTGGTCATTGGGGAACTCCTTCCTCTGGTCTTTAGAGAGGTCTTCCACCTTCCACTCGTCCCCTCCGTTCACATCCAGGCTCCAGAACTCAAAGCCTTCTGCTGGGAAGGCAGAGTTCCCCATGCAGGATGTCCCCTTTCACCCCCTTCCTTCCACACACCCCTTCCTTCCTCCCTCTCCGCTCCGCTCCAGAAGCCCCGACAAGCTGCCCTCTTGCCCTGTGGGCCACCGAATGGACAGGCCCCACCCCAGCATCAGGTGTTTCTTGTGTCGGGGCACTGAGAATAAATACCAGGCTCCTTCTGCATGGAGGGCACAGCCGTGGGCCGGACAGACTCCAGTGTCTCACAGAATCCAACAGTACTGGGCTGTGTGTCCCTACATAAACTGCTTTTCCCCTCTGAGCTTGGTCTTTTCATTAAACAGAACAAAATCTAGAAAACTTGATACAAAGTGCCACAGGATTTTAGCTTTTGTGGACCACAATTCTCCACTTCTTTTTTTCTTTTTCTTCTTCTTCTCCCCCTTTCTCTCTCTCTCTCTCTCTCTCTCTCTCTCTCTCTCTCTCTCTCTCTCTCTCTCTCTCTCTCTCTCTCTTTCTCTCTCTTTCTCACTGGTACTGGGGCTTGAATGCACTGACTTTCCAGACAGGTGCTTTTCTACTTGAGTCATGCTACCAGTCCCTTTTTACTTTAGGTTCTTTTTCAGAAAAGGTCTTCAGTTTTAGCCTGCACTGGCTTGAGACCCTGATCCTATCTTTAGCTTCCTCCTGAGTTGGTGGGATGATAGCCATAAACTACTCCTCCCCGCTTTTCACTGGCCTGAGGTAGGTTCTCAGTAACTTTTTTCTCTAGGCTGGTCTATGGACCTCTGCTTCCCAAGTAGCTGGGATTACAGAAGTGAGACATTACAGCTGGCCTTGTTTTGTGTTTCACAACCCTTTAGAAACATAAAACTATTGTTAGTCCCTACGCTAGATTTGGCTGGTGGACATAATTTGCAAAATGTTGGTGAAGAGCTCGGGTGCTGGTGAGTCCTGGCAGACAGATCCCTAAAACTCTGGAGCCATTTTTTTGGGGGGGGTGGTGGTCATGGGGCTTGAATTCTGGGCCGAGGCGCTGTCCTTGAGCTCTTCAGCTCAAGACAAGCACTCCACCACTTTAAGCCACAGTGCCACTTGCAGTTTTCTGGTGGTTATTTGGAGATAAGAGTCTCACAGATTTTCCTGCCTGAGCTGGCTTTGAACCATGATCCTTAGATCTCAGCCTCCTGAGTAGCTAGGATTGCAGGTGTGGGCCACCGCCACCTGACTTGGAGCTCTTTTCAAAATTATTTTCTCACTCTTCACGCTAGAAAGAAGTCTTGGGTTTCCCAGAAGCAAGACTGCCATCTGGGACAGCCTCAGTAGACCTAACCCTGAAATCAGTGAATGAGACCAACAAAGCATGGCTTGCGTTGGCACTGGTGGCTTACTTCTGTCACCCCAGTTACTCAGGAGGCTGAGAGCTGAGGATCACAGTTCAAAGCCTCCAGGCAGGAAAGTCTGAGACTCTTTATTGCCAATTAACCAGAAAAGGCTGGAAGTGGTAGAACTCTAGCCTCAAGAAAAAAAAAAAAAAAAAACCCTCAAGGACAGTACTCAGGCCTTGAGTTTAAGCCCTAGGACTGGCACAAAACCAAAAACAATCCCCCTCTCCCATGGCTCTGATTTGTGTCTTGGGCATTCCCTATTCTAGGAAGGACCTGGAAGATCTAGTCTTTTTTTTGTAGGGGTGGGGGGGCTGGTACCAGGGTATGAACTCAGAACTCAGATCCTTGAGCTTGTTTGGCTGGTGCTTTATCAACTTGAGCCATGTCTCCAGCCTGGCTTTTCTTTTTTTTTTTTCCTGGCTGTTATGGGGATAGAGTCTGGAGTCTGGCAGACTATTCTGCCGGGGCTGGCTTCAAACCTCAATCCTTCAACTCCCAGTGCACCATGAGCAGCCAGGGTGGTACCTGGCTGGGAGAACGAATCCAGAAGTGGATTAGTTGGCCTCAGTTTACCCATCTGAAAAAATGGATGCACTAATGAATGACCTCTAAGTTATCGTGAGAAGTGTTTAGCCAGCCAAAGGACCTGGCTCACCTTGGCAGTTCAACAAACATTAGCTGCCCTCATGGTGTGTGTGTGTGTGTGTGTGTGTGTGTGTGTGTGTGTGTGTGTGTGTGTCTGTGTGTGTGTACGCGCGTGCGCGCCGCCAGGCCCTCTGCACCCCACCTTCAGCACAGGGGTTGTGCAGGAGATTCCTTTGCAGGCTGCGCAGGAAGTAGAAGATCTTCCAGTCGGCCACAGGCTGGTCCCAGTCCCGGGTGATGAAGCCGTCGCGCAAGCACTTGCGCTTCCAGAGCGTCACCAGGTCGATGAGGTCCCGCCAGAGGCTGCAGACCGGGCGGCAGCGCAGCAGCAGCTGGCGGGCGGGCACGTGCGTGAAGAGCTCCAGCAGGATGTTCTCGGGGAGCTCGTTGATGTTCCCCACCGCCATGGCCCGGCCGGGACGCCGCTCCTGCGGGAGCGGAAGGCCCGGCTGACGCCCGTGCCCAGACGTCCTCTCCCCGGGCGCCCCCCGCGGTGGCGGCTCCCCGCGGCCCCGGGGCCGGGCCGGGGCGGCGCGCGGGGCAGGAGAGCCGGGAAAGGTGAGCTCCGACCTCCACCTCCCGCTGGCGCCCCGCAGCACAGCCCCGGAGGAGCGGCCCAAGGTCACGCAGCCCGGCGGAGGGAGGAGCCCGTCCCGAGGCGGCAGCCCTTCACCGACCGGATCCGCGTCGTTGAGCCGAACGCAGCGGGGCCCAGCCCCCCGCCCACCCCGAACGCGAGCTGGGAGATGGGCGGGCGCGGGCCAAACCCCGACCCCGCACGGTCCGAGAGAAAGCGATCCGCCCACCTGGGACTGGACCGAGGGTGGGCGATGGGGAAGGGCGCCCCCTCCGGCCTCCCTACCCCCCGCCCCGCACACCGATGGCCACCCCCAGCCCGCGTACCCGGCCGCGCGGGGCAGTGCAGCCCCGAGCCCGGCGGCTTGGGCCTGGTTGGTGCCGGGCCTCCCCGGGAGTCTCGCACTGCGGCGGGGACCGCGGAGCCCGCCCCGCAGGACCCCAGCCTGCGGCGGACGCCCCCTGCCCCGCGCTCCCCACGGCCCACTCGAGCGTTACCTACGCTCAGCCTCCGCTTCGTGATCCCGCGGGGCCCGCGGGGCTGCAGCTGTCAAGGCCTTGGGTGACCGAGGATGCGACTGGGCCCCGCCTCCAGCCCCGCCCCGCCGGCCCCTGCCTTCAGCCCCGCCCTCCACACCTCTGGGCCACGCCCCTCACACCGCCGAACCCCGCCCCGCACACTGTTGGGCCCGCCTCCAGCCCCGCCCCACGCAAGCCGGACCCCGCCTCCAACCTCGCCCCACACACCGCCGGGCCCCGCCTCCAGCCCCGCCCCGCCTCCAGCCGGGCCCCTCCTCCAACCCCGCCCCTCGCGCAGCCTGGCCCCGCCTCCAACCCCGCCCCGCATACCTCAGGGCTCCGCCTCCAGCCCCGCCCCGCGCAGCCCGGGCCCCGCCTCCATCCGGGCCCCGCCTCCAACCCCGCCCCTCGCGCAGCCGGGCCCCGCCCCCAGCCCCGCCCCGCGCACACCCGGGCCCCGCCTCCAACCCTGCCCCGCAACCCACCGCCGGGCCCCGCCTCCAGCCCCGCCCCTCGCGCAGCCGGGCCCCGCCCCGCGAGGTGCGTTTCCCACCCCCCATCCCAATCGAGTCCAAGGAAAATTACCCGGGTCGGGGGCGGGGCGGAGGGAGCCGCTTTATCCCCCCCCCCCCCAACTCCGCCTAGGCCGGCGCCCCGCATCCTCCGCGGGCCCCGAGCTCGCCCTGACCCTCCGCCCTGCAGGCACCCTCGGGGCCCAGTTTAAAAACCGACTCCTGACCTTTCCTGACCTCCTGGTTCTTCCCGGGAGCCGGCAGCCTCGGGTGTTCGCGGGTGCGGGGTTGGCGGGGCGCGGGGCCAGGGGCGGGGCGGGGCGAGGCGGGCGCGGGGCCTTTAAGAGGCGCGGCCGCCGGGACCCGGCCAGACGCGGGCAGCGCCTGGGACTCGTCGCCGGCCGGGACTCGCGGCCCGCAGCGCTCGGCTCCTCCTTCTCCTCCTCCTCCTCTAGCGACCGCGCTCCGCAGCGATGGACGGAGACGGGGACCCAGGTAGCTTCCGCCTGGATCCAGTCGCCCCAGAGCGGAGGGGAGACGGGGCAGGCGGGCGAGCGCCCTAAAGAGGGTCCCCGAGATCCGGCGCGCAAACTTCCTCGCGCGTAAAGCCCGGGACGCAGCCCCGGAGCGCAGGCTTCCGTGCGGTGTCGCGGCCAGGCGGGGGGCTTGGAGAGGCGACCGGCGGGAGTGAGGACTCCTGGGGCCCAGAAATGGCCTCGGAGGCCTCCCGGCTTCCAGAGGGTGCGGGGCCTCCCCCCCCCCCCCCCGCCCTGCCCCAGGCGTCTGGGATGGAGGTGCCTGCGAGGTTTTTCTTCCAGCAACTTCTTCCATATGCCAGCTCCAGCCTCGAGCGGCTTGGATTCCTGTAGGCTTTTGGATTTACTCCTGGCCTGGAATCCACCCATCCCAGCCTCCCTCTCCTGGGCTTCCCTCTGGAGGGGCTGCCCTTAGGCTGGGGGGCGGGCATGCGCAGTGAGGACCATGCTCGGGGTGAAGAAGAGTCTGGGGCTGGTCTTGGCCAGTGCCCCGGGCTCTCCGGGACTGCCCAGTCATCTTTTCTGGCACCAAAGACCCCCTCCATGTCTCCAGTGGCCCGCTGGGCCTGCTGAGTCAGGGTGAGGACAAACCGGCCTACCCATCACCCACACCCCGAAGTGCATACTTAGACAGCCAACCCTTTCTCCAGTCCTGAAACCCCAGCTCCCCCCTCCCCTCAGTCTGGCCCCCATGCAACTGGGGCACCAGAAAGGGCTTGTGATTTTTCCCAAGGCCTAGCTATTCCCTGGACTCCCTGGTCCGCTCCAACCCAGGTAAGTGAATCAGCCCAGAGGCCGCTTTCAGAGCCAGATAACTTTCCAACAGCAACAATGTGGGGACTTGTGTGGGTGAGAGTGGGGGCTGGGGCCCGTAATCGGATCTGGGGCCTCAGCGCCGGGCCAGAGAGGGGACCGAGGGAGGTGCACCTTTCAGGGAGCATCAGGTGTCCAATGGGGCCAGGGCAGGGCAGGAGTGGTGTTGGAAAGAGAAGACACTGGACCTCCGTCCCCAGAGAGCTGTGAACAGCATTTTCCCTCCGCAACCCAGGGTCTGCCCCCTGCCCACTCCCTAACAGCCACTCCCTTGGCTGTCCAGGGTCCTCTGGAATTCCTCCTCCCTGGGTCTGGGAGCGAGGGGTAGCCTCCAACCCATTCAGAGTGGTTCTGTGAATCCTCCCCTCAGGTTCTCCCTCCTGAGATACTGGTAACTTGGTATCTGTTTACTCAAGTCTTAGGTGGCCCAGATGAGGTGGGCTGGAATCCAAGAGCAGGTCCCATGGGCCCAGACATCTGCCCAGGCCTTGAGATGAGAATAGCCTTGCCTTTTCCGCCCTGGCACATTGGTCACCCCCCCCCCTTTCATAGGTGAAGAAACTGGGGGTCAGGTATGGGAGAAGGAGGGGTGACATATTCCTTTCCCAAACACCTGTACATCTCTCTGTTTGATCGATGACCGCTCCTTGGCTCCTGAGCCATACAGAGTGGCCAGCTGGGGAGAGTTGGGGCTCCCGGTCTTGTCCTCATTTCTCCCCAGTTCTTGGGTCCTCTTGTCTCCTTCCCTAATCCTGGCAGGTCAAACCTTCCACAAATCACTTCCCATTTCACCCACAAAATCAAAATCATAACCATACCTATTCATTCAATGATTTTTCTCCGGGTTTGCACTTGGGACCTTCCACTTGCTCAGTTTGCTTACTCTGCTGTGACTCTACGGGCCGAGCCACACCTCCAGCCTTGCTTTTTGCTGATTATTTTGGAAATGGAGTCCAGTGGATTTTTTTGGCCCAGGATGGCCTCAAACTGTGATCTTCTCTCTTTCAGCCTCCTGAAGTAGCAAGGATTGCAGGCATGAGCCACCTGTGCCCAGCCTCAATGAATTCTTTTGTTGGCACTGTGACAAAGTTGGCCTTGGAGCCAAAGTCTCTGGGTGCCAATGTAGACTTCAGCTAGAGTTTTGTGACCACCCTCCCCCTGTCCCTCCCCACAGTCCTTTGACCTGTGCCTGATTCCTCATTGGTGAACACAGGGGCACCCTGGAAGGTGGTGAGGTATGAGGATGTTAGGAGCAATTGAAATGCTTAGAACGGTGCCTCATGTTTGCTAAGATCCCAGTAAGCATCCTGGGGAGGAGGCAGTTCTGATCTTCTCCAGATCAGGCCACCCCTTGAAGACCAAGGCATTTATGAGAGGATTGCACCCAAGGACAAAGATAGGAAGCCATTCAACTGCCTTTGAACCTGGACTTAAGAGGGGGCAGGGGACTGGAAAGGCATCTGGAGGAGGGGAGGGGAGCAAGGGCCTTGGTGGATTGAAGTATTAGAACAATGCTAGAGCCGGCACGAGTGGCTCACATCTGTAATCTTAGCTCTTCAGGAGGCTGAGATCTGAGGATCACAGTTCAAAGCCAGCCTGGGCAGGAAAGTCTGTGAGATTTTTTTGGGGGTGGTAGTGGTAGTACTAGTCCTAGGTCCTAGTGCTCTACCACTTGACTCACATCTCCACTTTCAGCCTTTCCTGCTTGAGCTGGCTTTGAACCATGATCTTCAGATCTCAGCCTCTTGAGGAACTAGGATTACAGGTGTGAGCCACTTAGTGCCTGGCTGCGGTGAGACTCCTATCTCCAATTAGTCACCAAAAGAAGCTGGAAGTGGAGCTGTGGCTCAAGCTGTAGAGGGCTAGCTTTGAGCACAAAAGCTCAGGGGCAGCACAGTTCAAGCCCAGGAGTGCCTCTCCGCCTCCTCACCTCCGAAAAAAAACAGTAACATGCTAGAGTCATCTGCCATCAGTGATGTCAGGATCCCTTCTGTGGTGTGACCTGAGAAAAGCCACCGGGCCTCAGTTTCCTCTGCCGGGGTCTGGGGGGAGGGGGGAGGGGGGGAAGGCTGTTGAGTCATCTCTTCAGTATGAGGGGAGCCCATCTGGGGGTCTGCCTCTTGGGTCTCCTCCCTGGGCCCAGGCCCCCCCCAATCGCAGAATCTCTGGTCAGTTGTGGGTGAGGACGGATCTAGGGTTTGCCGTGGGGTCAGGCTAGGGGAGTGAGAGCCTTCCCCCACGACCCCCGCCCGCAGAGAGCGTGGGCCAGCCGGAGGAGGCGAGCCCGGAGGAGCAGCCCGAGGAGGCGGCGGCGAGCGCCGAGGGGAGCGCGGAGGAGGAGCAGCCCGGGGAGGAGGCGGCGGCGGCGGCGGCCGCGTACCTGGCCGAGCTGCCCGAGCCGCTGCTGCTGCGCGTGCTGGCCGAGCTGCCCGCGGCGCAGCTGGTGCAGGCCTGCCGCCTGGTGTGCCTGCGCTGGAAGGAGCTGGTGGACGGCGCCCCGCTGTGGCTGCTCAAGTGCCAGCAGGAGGGGCTGGTGGCCGCGGGCGACGCCGACGACGCGCGCGAACACTGGCAGCACTTCTACTTCCTGAGCAAGCGGCGCCGCAACCTGCTGCGCAACCCCTGCGGGGAAGGTGAGGCCGCGGGCGGGGCCGCGCCTGGGGGCGGGAGGCTGCAGCGTCCCCCCCCCCCCCATCATCCAGGGGTCGCGCATGCGCACCCCATTCATGGCCAGGACCCCCGCGGGGCCGCTGACCCGGCCGCGGTCTCTCCCGTCTCGCAGAGGACTTGGAAGGCTGGAGCGACGTGGAGCACGGCGGGGACGGCTGGAGGGTGGAGGAGATGCCCGGGGACGGCGGCGTGGACTTCATCCACGACGACAGCGTGAAGAAGTACTTCGCCTCCTCCTTCGAGTAAGGGGGAAGGGAGAAGGAAGGGGCGCGGGGCAGGGGGAGGGGGGCGCGACCCCCACCCTGACCCCGGTTCCCGCAGGTGGTGTCGCAAAGCGCAGGTCATTGACCTGCAGGCTGAGGGCTACTGGGAGGAGCTGCTGGACACCACCCAGCCGGCCATCGTGGTGAAGGACTGGTGAGATCGCTGGGGGCGGGGCCGGGGCGCTGGGGGCGGGGCCGGGGCACTGGGGCCGGGGCCAGGGGCCGGGGCGCTGGGGGCGGGGCCGGGGC